AAGATTGGGCGAGACTATTTACAAGGGTCTGGAGTGAAAGGACAAGGAGAAATGGCTTCCCACTGCCAGAGGGCAGGGTTGGATGGGATACTGGGAAAAAATTCTTCCCCGTGAGGGTGGGGAGCCCCTGGCACAAGTTGCCCAGAGAAGTTGTGGCTGCTTCATCCCTGGAAGTGTCCAAGGCCAGACTGAACAGTAATTTGGGTTATTCCTGGGCAATGCAACTTTTGAAGGAACTTTTAGAGCAACTCAGCCCTGCTGAGAAAGTTCTCTTCAGTTCCTGGAGCCTTTTCTCCTGCGTGTGTAGGAGCAGGTGCTTTTCACTGACCCCACTGGCCCCACTTTCAACCACCATCCTACCTTGTCTCCTGGAGGTGGTGTAGGAAAGGGTTTGCCAAGCCAAAACCTCTTGCTGGTTGTAGCAATGATGCAGGTGTTCTTTGAAAACACCTTGGTTGCAACGTAGCCCTGTTAAAGTTGAACAAAATCCCCTTTTTGTTGCAAACAATATACAGGGAAAGAGAAGTGCGTTGCTAGAGAGAGGCACTGGTTGAAAGAAAGGCTTCCTACAGTGCAAATAGTCACAGGGAAAGAAAAATATTGGTCCTTTCAATTATATTGTTTAGGCAAATGTGTCATGGAGGCTGACAGGAGACTTTGGTACAGGGTAAATTGCCTCCTCCAGTAATGCCACGTGTATGATGTGTTCTCCTGCTTAGGGCAGGTGAAGGAATTTGCTGCTGAAAAGCTAATGCAGCACACAGTGCACCAGAAACAGTCCCAAGGCTGAAGGAGCACATTTTCAAGCATCTCCTCTAAAATACAATGAAATTTAGTTGAAGCTTTGGTGGTTTTTAGAAAACGTTTGCCTCTTTTACCATTTTTGTTGCGCCATGGTGGCAGCTACTTACAGCCTTGAAGTCCCAGATGGTTTTCCAGGCCTCAGAGCCATCCTTGGGGGTGGTGGTGACCCTGATCCCAGAGTAGATTGAGTTTTCACTGGGCTGCTCATTAAAGTTGTTCTCCATGTTCTGATTTTTGGAACAGATTAAAAGAGATAAGGATTTAGCTTTGTGGATTCCCAGCAGTGTTTCACTCAATAAAGCATTAGCTGAAGTAGCCATGTTTTGGGACATTACTGCTCTTGGGGATCTCATTAAAGGGGAGATGATTTCTTGGCTCAGAATGATGGGAAGCCTTTACTTTGTAAGTAATCATAATAATTCCTTATTGTTCCTTCCCTAGCAGGATCTTGCTGGCACCAGATTACTTGTTCTACTGTATTTTGTGGTCAGATCAGTCCTGTTAATAGTTGTTTCTCTCCACACCATTATTTTCAGTGTTTATGCTCATCTCAGTACAGCCTTCCCTGATTCCATGTATGGTAAACTGTCTTTTCCCCCTTGATACATCAAGCATGGAAATAATTTCTTAGTTATCACGGAAAAATTAAAATGCAATTTTCGTCTAAATATCAGACTTTTGAAAGCAGCTTCACTTTTAGAAACCCATTTCTCAGAGGTAAGAGCTAAAGCCAGTGGTTCCTGTGGCAGTAGTGAGCAGCTGTGTGTAGCTCTATACTTACGTGGTTGGCAAGAGCAGGAGCCAGGAAAACTCCAAGTAGAGAAGCAATCACAATCTGAAATGAACATTTGGAATTCAATACACCTGAAGATCACGCTGCTTATCTTGCATCAAATTATTTGCTGTCTTAAAATAATTTTGACTTCCTGTTTACTTTGTGTACAGACTCAGCATTTTCTGCAGTGGGGTCCAGCTGAAGAGGATTGAGATATGCAGGAGAATTATTTGTTGATGAGTTCACAGAACACATGCATAGAAATGGCTCTTAGCCCCAGCACTGCACCTTGCCCAGGCAAGAAAGTCATTCAAACACAGTGGGTTCTGAAACTTGCCCAGCCCCAATTCATTAACTTATTGGAAAAAATATGCTCTGAAATATTTTCTTTGCAAGACTGAGCTTTTAACCTCAACCTTTTGATGCCAGACATGGAGCAGATCTGTTGTGAAGAACTGGAATATGGGGGCACATTCCAGCTCTCTGCCTGGAACACAGCAGAAAGGCACCTGAGCATCTTCACAGTGATCTCATCCTCCAAACACAGGACTAATGGTCTAAAGGGAGGCACTTCTGTTCAGAAAACTGGGACATCAAATATTTGTTACCCCTTTATAAAGCCACAGAGTTTCAACAACTCACGAGCTCGCTGTTGCTCGGGTTTGTCCGAACTAGGCTGATACTTTTGGAGAGATTTCCTATTGTTATGATGAAAAATTCTTTTGGAATAACTATTGTGAACAACTATTCTCTTGAAGACAATCCTATGAATATTGAATCGGTCCCAGATTTTATCTCCTTCAAAGGAGGATTTTGATGGAAAAGTCCAAGTCCGACTCAGAGCATTTAGAAGTAATGCTTGGGAATTTTTCCTACACCAGTTTCAAGCCGCTGTAAATACCTCAGTGTCACCATCCTGCACTTGGAGTCTCTTGTGTCACACTCTCAGCAAACAGCTGAGCCCTAACTTTACATGACTTGCTGAGACTGTTGATTTGCCTCTGAGTGCTGAAGGAGAGAATATTGTCCTGTGGACGTGTCACGAGTGTGTGTGGCCCCTGGAACAGAGCCCTTGTCTCTTTCATGGTTCAGCATGTGGAGTTCCATCCCTGCCAAAAGGGAGATTTCTCCCCTGCAGTCCCCACCCCTTTGGCATTTTCACTTTGAAAATGCCCTTTGGCATTTTCACTTTGTCAGAAATCACTAAGAGTTCTCTCAGTGCCAAGAAAAGCTCAAAACCATTTAAAAGCTGCCCAACCTTAAGAGTTTTATGAGAAAGTGATAGGTATACTTACAGGGAACTTCATTTGGATGGCAGGCCAGGCCAGCTCTGCTGCTAATTGATGTGTACTCTTACTTTTTATACATAATATCCCAAAGTTAAATCTGAAAATGGGTTTACCTTATTGGCAGGGGCCCTGTGTTCACAGAAGCATGACGAGTTTCCTGGGGAAGTGCTCTGATAAGAGGAGGCTTTGATACCTGCCTGATTGAATTCATGGCATACAGGGAGGTGAGAGAAAAGTGCTCGTGGTAAGCTCAGTGTATTGACCAGTCACTTTTACATGAAAAAAGAAATTATAAGCAGAAGCAGAGCAGAGATTCCCAGTAAGCTTGTAGTGATGCTTTGTGCCAATGTGGCAAAGGACTCAGCCTGAAGTTGTGCCTCTGACCAAAAGCACCATTCGAGCCAAGGGGGTGGTAATCTTGCTATGTTAAAAATGTTAAGTTTCTGCTTGTCAGACATAGCCCTGAATCTTCACAGAGCCTCTTCAGTAGCTCCTGATAATGGACTAAGGGTTTGGTAATCTTGCTATGTTAAAAATGTTAAGTTTCTGCTTGTCAGACATAGCTCTGAATCTTCACAGAGCCTCTTCAGGAGAGTAGCTCCTGATTTTGGACTAAGGGTAGATTTAAGAAAGGGACCATAAATTTGAGGTAGCAAGGTTCACCGAGGGATCCTGGACCACAGCTTTGAAAGCTAAGCCTCACTCTGCCTGAGGACTGGCCAAGGTGAAATTAGAGGGGTTTAAACCCTTCTTAGGCAGCTCCTTCCTTCAGCTACTTCCTCTTGGAGGGTGCCTCTAGGACTGTGGTGCTTGTCTTTAAACAAATGCCTGCTGCTTTCAGGGGTGTTCCTGGGAGATGTGTGGTGAACTGTGGGCAAAAAGTCTCCAAAAAGCAAGGCTTGCCTGTTGGAAATACATCGAAGGCATTGCCTTAGACAACCAGCTCAGGCTGTGTCACAATCACATTAGTTAGGCACATGCTTTTTAGAAATGAACCTTTAGTTTTTGTCCTTGTCTGATGGGATCAGCAGAGTTCAGTCAGCGCAATGCAAGGTGCAGATCATGGCTATTCTTGTAGTTTTCCTTCAGTAAACAACAACTGCTGATCTGCCCAGCTGCTCTGCCCTTACCTGTGCCTCAGCACTTGGATGCTGAGGGAAACAAGAGCTGCTGCTTCCCAAGTGTTCTTCAAAGAAAATGAGCATATGAAGGCATAATAACTGAGGAAAAGTTAAATTAAGCTTTTTTTTTAACTTGTGATGCCTGAACCCTGTTAGAGTCCTGCTGTGAAATACTTACTTGACTGTCCAAATCTCCTCTGAGTATTTCTGACATACCTATAATCTTAAAAATAATCTTTTGAGAAGAGGGGACAGAGCCAGCTTTCAAGAGGAGTGCAACATCAACCTGATTAGTCTACCTGGGTTTAGCAGAATTTGATATCTGTTTATGTGTTTTCTGATATATTGCTTAGCAGCACAGCCTTGTTATGCTTGAGATAACCTTTTCTCATGTGGACTTAGGTGGCATAAAGCAAATGTGTGCAATTTCCTTTTTTTCTTTTTCCACTGAGGCCTGTTTGCTGAAAGATATTTCTGTACAATCTCCTTCTCCTTTTTTTTTCTGATAAGAGAAATTACAGAAATGTGTTTGCTGTTAGTTGGAGTTCTTGTTTTATTGGGAGGGAACCAGCCTTGATTATGACCTTCTAGCAGAAAGCAGAGTGTGATTCATCCAGGTGCCAGCACTGGCTGGTGCGGGACAGCGGATGAGGAGGAGTCCAGGCAAGGTTGCAGTCTCCTGGCAACTCCAGAGAACATTCTCGTGGCGACATCGTGGTCATGGGCATGCTCACAAAACGCAGAAATCAGTGGGGATTCAGAGGGGGAATCCCCTCCTGCTCCTTTTGTTTGTGACCTGGTGCACACCACGGAGCCTCTGGGTTTTCGTGTCGCTCCCTGGTGAACTGAGCAGGACAGAAGTGCCCCAGGCTGTTCCTTGAAGCACAGCTGCTGTTCCCACCTCTGTCCCTCATTTCAGTTCATGTGCTCTGCCCGTGGGGGTCACTGACCAAAAATGAGCAGCGCCTTTTGCCAAGAGTCCCTGCACACAGAACGGAGTGGAGTCCCGCAATGGTTGGGGTTGGAAGGGGCCTTAAAGATCCTCCAGTTCCAGCCCCCTGCCATGGACAGGGATGCCACTCACTGTCAGGTGGCTCAGGGCTCCATCCCATATTTTCAGTGAAAGAAATGGCTGAAGAATTGGTCTATGTGTTGGCTGACATGGAGGCCACCATGGCACAGGGGTTTCTTCCCAGCATTTCTCTGCAGACTATAAATCAGGCTGTTAGGGATTGTGTTTCAGAAGACAAAATGCAGTTTGTGTGAATAAATAGCAGTGTTGTTCCCAGTGTCATTTAATTCTGCACAACATCCTGTTAAATATTTAAAAAAATAGAACCAGCAATACTAAAGTTTAAACCAGTGAATAATGGCCATTTGCAGAGTGATTGATTTACTGAGACTTACTGAGTGCTTTAAATATATCTGGGTCAGGTTATCTGTGCCAACCCAAAATTCAGATAGGAGGCTTACGACATGTAGATATGGACTTGTTCGAGTCATGAAGGAAAGTTCTGTCAAGTGTTTCCCACACCTCCTGCAAGATATAAAAGTTGAAGGTCTCTGGGACTTCCTTGCGTTCTTACCTTCTGCAGCCTCTTGCTCTCATCTGAAAGAAAAATGAAGAGATTTGTGAGTATATCCATTTCTGTTGAACTTTTAATACTGTAAGTTCCTCACTTTTAAAAACAGAAGGATAGAGAAGAAGATGCTCAAGTAAGTGGTACGATGCAGTGGTACAATAATATGATCTGTGTGTTGTTTCTTTGGGTGGAAAGAGGAGAACTTGAATTTCTTGGGTCAGCAAAGTCAGTGGAAGCCTCATTTGAGCAAAGAATGCAGAACTGGTTACAGTTCAGAAGGGGGGTTTGGTTATGATTTAATGATTGCTGTTGTAGAGGCAAATCAAGACGTAACATGGCATCAAGGAGGGACTTCTGAAAACTGCAGAAATGCCATGGTCAAGTTATTCTGCTTTTTCAGGCAAAGGAGACCCTGATAGAAAAAACTTTACAATGAGGAATTGCACTTGTTTTCAGCTAATATACATGCTAAAAGGGTGATTTTTCAAACTGATGCTCCAGCTCCTTCCCTCAGCTCATTGACTGGTGTTTTTATGGCACTGCCTGGTGTTTCTGACGAGTGAGAATTCTGATTCCTTTTACAGGCTGCAGTCCTCATTTGCCTGGGAGTCTTTTGGGCTCACATTTCTGCATTGAACGTGAGTAGAGTGATGAGCCTTGTCCTGCACGTGAGCATTCAAAATTGTTGGATCCCTGGGCAGGGGGAATAGAACAGGAAGAAAACCACAGAAAAAACTAAAATCAACAAATTGCTTATTGTCAAGTGTAGAGAAAAAGAGCTTTTGCCAGAGGTTCTGTAGAGCTGCAAAGTAACAAGTCAGGGTGACAGAGGTTCCCTCAGATTAATCCAACATTTGGAGACTGGAGCTGTCTCCTGCCAGTCCCTGCTGCCCAGAATGACTGGGATGTCCCATGCAGGTTTCCCCCAGCCTGACCTCCATCTCAAGAGCCTCCTCAGACTGCTCCAGGGTGCAGTAAACACCAAATCCCAAGAACCCGGCGTTCTTAAGGGATTTGGTATTTACGTGAAGCCGAAAGCACTGGGGGTTGCTGCGCCTGCTAAAAATGGCAGCCAGGTGATGAACAATGATTTTGTGCTTTTTACCAAAGACCTTTGTGCTGCGAGATCCCATCAGCAACTATGTCACTGGGACCATGACCATCCACAGCGAGGAGCACATCGTCGATGTGCACGTCCGCTCCGGCGTGTACTCCTCTGACACCATTTTTGACTACACACATGTGAGTAAATCCAGGGATCCGCCTCCAATTAACCCCTGAGGAAGTCATTAACAGCAGAAATTATTTTAGTGTGTTCTCGCCACATCTTGTCCCAGAACACTGTTTCTTTGAGGGCTCCCAGCACCTTTTCTCCTCCTTTCTTCACCCGTACCATGGGGACGTTTAAAAGACTTGTCATGAAACTTGTGGGGCTCAGTGGGGCTGGAGGTGGGGATGGGCTGCCAGCACTCATGGGCAGCAGAAATCTGTCAGAAACGATGCAGGGACAGGCACCAGGACAGGCTGGCTCCATTCCCCAAAGGAAAGAAAGGAAATGCATTCATTCCACAGCAGCAGCCTCTGCAGCCACTTGCTGTTCCTTCCAGATTGCCCCAAAGAGTAGAGAGCAGCAGCTAATGTCAGCATTAGTTAAATAATTTCTGATGATTTAACCTCAATTCTTTCCATCCCAGGGGTATATTGCCACCAGGCTGTTTTCACGAAATGCCTGCTTTATCATGAAAATAAAGAAGGAATTGATCCCAGACCTGGAAGAGATTGGACGCCTGGCTTTTGAGAGAGAGGTGACTTTGTGGGGGCTGGCAAGGAAAGGTGGGAGCAGTGTGGTGTCAGGGGGACCCTCCACTCTGCCCCTGAAGCAGCTCAGGAGTGACTTGTGCTGCCTTAGCAATGGTGGAGCTGTTCTGACAAGACAGAATGTTCATGCAGAACGTTCTTTGAAGATAACAAACCATCATGGCTCCCCTGCAGCTTTGTTGAGGTGTCTTGAGCTGTACAATCCCCTGGCCTTGGAACTGGTGTCCTTTGGCCATTTTGAGGTGATCACAATACAAGTTCAGGCGAACTTTCCCTTTATTAATTGTCCTGCTGATATTTTGACCTTGACATTGCCTGAATTTTTTTTTTTTTTTCAAAACAGAAAGTAGAGATCGATTTACTTTGACCAGATTTTGACTTCCTTATTCAGGCTGAGGTTTCAGAAGGAGACTGGAAGTATTGCCTGGAGGTGAACTGGAGTTCTGGCCCATTTTGTGTCAGCCCAGTAGCACATTTACAGCAAAACTTGCTGCCAATAATATGAGTTATTATGGAAGCACTACAGCTCAGGCTTGCTGTGCTGGCACAATTAATACCTGGTGAATTTTGTTACTGAATAGCTTGTTTGTTGGTTTTTTTAAATCATGAAACTTCTTTATCTAATGTGAGGCAAAGGAAGGTGATTTTGGGTTTGGGAGCCTTCTCAAGGGCATCCCAGTAGAGTGAAGCTAAAGCTACATTTCTGATGGTGTTTAACCTTTTCTTCTCAGATTATGAGGGATGTATACTCTCCAAATAATGTGTGGACCCAGTTCCAATCTGGCAGTTCCAGGCTGGGGCACTTTAAAGACTGGATTCTCTATGGGAAACACATTGAAAATCTCTGCACGGGGCTGCCTCTCTACGAGCTGGTGGCCACTGAACGTAAGTCACAGGTCAGGGCGTTGTGGCTTCTGCACCTTCCTCCCCCTTGCACCCAAACCCTCCTGGCACCCTGGAGCTGTGCAGACATTTCTTCCCCTTGAGTTGCCCCACAAGTGTTCTGCAGAGTTCTGAGACAAACAGAAGCCTTGAATAGGGCCACAATTGAGGTTTGTGTATTTAAGACTTTTCCTAGGTTGATACAGGAATCTCATCTGGTAAGGAGATTCTGATACTGAGATAAATACTGATATAAATACTGGTACTGATGCTATCTTTATTTTCTTGGGATTTTTTAGCACCAACAAATGATGATGGCTGTGCCAGTGCCGGCATTCCAAGCATTTTGGGCCTTAAAATCTGTGAAGAACTCATTGCAACTGAATCTTGACATTTCTGTTGCAAGGAAATGCCTTTTTGCATGTTTTAGTGATGGTAACCATGTTCTCCAGCTGGAACAGAACTCTGGTACGAGGCTCAACCTGCCTATGAAAAGCTTTGATGCATAACAAGCCTATGACATACAAATAAATAGAATGCTTTAGTAAATAAACAGAATGCTTTGTCTCTTTCTTATACCCAAAATCAGAACACAATGACAGCAGGCCTTGTGTGCTGCCCTGCAGAAAAAACAAATTTCCCCCTTGGTCCATTCCTGTGCTGGGGCTGCAGCGTGGCCCAGGCATTGATGTGTGCTTCATAAGGAGAAGAAACAGGAACAGAATCGATTTTTCCAGTGGGGAACTTCACTTTGGCATCAGCATCCAGGTGTTGGCTCACCTTGTGTAGGATGGCTGGGGGAGGGAGCAAGAGGTGGATGAAGACAGAGGGAGCAGATCCACACATTTGCAAAGCAGCTTGAATCCTGCAGGGCCACTGGAAATTTGCAGCAGTTTGAATGAGTGCAGTGTTCCAGAGAGGTTTTCCAAGCCTGGGCAGAGGGCACTGTCCCATCCCTGAGAGATTTGTGCCTTGGAATAAAGTTTTCCTTTCACACACAAAGAGCTGGGACCACTTGGTGAGTGTCCCACGTGTCCTTTGTGTCAGGAGTTGATGGAAATCCAGGATGGGGCAGGGCTGGGGCCACCTGCCTGCTCTGGGGCAGCTCCCAGGGGGTGCTTGGACTCTCACAGCCTCCCCTCCAGGGCCTGGAAGGGATGTGTGTTTTGGGGATGAATGTTTACTGTTTATTGGAGCCTTGAGTGGCTGCCAGAGGGCAAGAGCTTCCTCTGGAGGAAAATGGCCCCAGGTCTGCAGTTTGTAATTTTCCAATCAGGCTTCTGGTCAAACCATCTGCTAGTTAATAAAAGAGCATTTCATCCCATGGTGAAGCTGTTCTTTTAGATTAATTGCATTCATGACAGGCTGCAGGTTCTTGGTGGTCCAAAAAATGTTTCTGGAGGGTCAAACTTTGTTAATTAAATCCAGGAATGATTGTTCTGTGGACCCTGAAACCAGCCTCGATACCTCATTATTTGTCATTTAATTTTGAGCTAGGGAGATAGTGGTCCTGGCCTTCCTCACAAATGGAAGAATATTGCTTCTAGATTTAATTTCAGTTTGTAGTCTCATGGGATCAGCCAGGCCTCTGAGGAGTATGTTTTTTCTATATTAAGTTTGCACTTTGACCTTTCTGTTTGTTCTTTGGTAAATAAAGCTTCAGCTCTCCATGCACTGTCCCAGCCCCTCCAATGTCCAGGTGTCCAACTCATGGGAAACTTCTGGATGCAGCAGCTCAGGGGCAGATCTGTGCTGGGGCTGCTGCACCTCGTGGGGTGCAGCCCCCAGCAAGAGAGGAGGAAGCACAGGCAGAACCATAAACCACACAACCCGTGTGGCCATGCTCTGATCCCCCCAGTTTTCCAGAGAAAAACTCTGGAAAAGTTTTCCCTCTGTTCCCAAATTGCAGCTCTGAATTCACAGCCCTTGAGCCTCCCTGTTGGTGTCACCAACAACCACAAAGATCATGCTAGAAAGGGCTGCAGAGCAAAAGAAATTTATTCTAGATTTAAAATAACTAATCGCAGGGCAAACAGGAATGTACAGCCAGCTCTGAACAAACCAGAGAAAAGGATTCAGGCAGGAGAAAGTTTGATATTTTATTTATTTATACTGTATTTGCCCTTGCTATTTCCTGCCATTTCATTCTTTGTTGACTAGGCCACAGTTTACAGTATGCTTTATGGACCTGTCTTGGATTATAATAAATCTGTTTTTCTTATCTTGCAGGTGCTTGATATTAAAAGTGGACTGCAGGGAAAGACCAAAGAGGTAAAAATCAGCAACAGCTAAAATAACCCTGAAGATCAGATCCAGTTGTTGCCTGAAGTAACTGCAGTCTGAAAAGGTCAGCCTTTAAATCCACCCTCTGTCAGCTCTGAGTGTTCATGATGTGAAGGATATCTCAGAATCATGGGGTTGTTAAGGCTGGAAAAGTTTAAGCTCATCAAGTTAAGTTCTTCAAGTTCAACCATCAACCCACCACCACCACCATGGTCACCATCAACCCACCTCCCCAGGTGCCACATCCACGTGGTTTTTGAGCATTTCCAGGGGTGGGGACTCCAGCACTGCCCTGGGCAGCTGTGCCAGAGCTTTACAACCCTCACATGAAGAACTTTCCCCAAAATCCACCCTGGCCCGGCCTGGGGCCGTTCCCTCTGCTCCTGTCCCTGTTCCCTGGAGCACAGCCTGACCCCCCTGGCTGTCCCCTCCTGGCAGGAGCTGTGCAGAGCCAGAAGTTCCCCCTGATCCCCTTTTTCTCTCTCTGAGCCCCTTCCCAGCTCCCTCAGCCCCTCCTGGAGCTCCAGCCCCTTCCCAGCTCCATTCCAGTCTCCAGGCATGCTCCATCCTCTCAATGCCCTTCTGGCCGTGAGGGGCCAAAAGCTTATTAATAGAATTAATATATTTACATATTAAACCTTTAATTCTATCAACTAATTAACCTAGAGATGCTCTGTCTGATGTGAAGCACCTGCTGGCCTGGAGCTCATTAGGAATCTGTATCTTTGTGGGCCCTTTGCTGGTAGAGGACCTTTTTTTGTGATGCCTTGCGATTCCTTCTTGCACTGTGAGGTTTTCCAGGGGAATGGATGGAAAATTCCCAGTGATTTCCATGGGAGGCACCCAGAGCCCAGCAGGCAATCTCAGGAACAATGGTGGAGTTGTGTTCCCGGTGCACAAAGCCCGCAGCTCGTCCCGATAACCGCCCAAGGTCAACGTGCAGCTGGAAAAGGTGGAGCTCCTTGGCACTGATTTCACACCTGGAGAACAGCACAGCCCCTGGGAGAGGGGCAGAGAGGCAGGGCTGCAACCCAGAGCTGCCACCAAAATGAAAAAGGAGCCAGTGCACGAGCTTAGATCCTAAAAACACACGGGCTGGAAGAGCCTGGAGAGGGAGAAAGGATGAGATTCATCATCTTGAAAGTTACCTGATCTTCCCAAGAGCTCCTCTCCACCAAATAGCACATTCTGGTTATTATCTGACTTTATCTATCACATTATCAACTTCCTAGCCAGGCTGGTTCTGTAAAAAACAAGGAATTTCTTTGGTGTGGGAGATCACAGAATATTCTGAGCTGGGAGGGACACACTGGAGAGCTCAGGGGAGTGTCTGGGTGTGCCTCAGTATCTGCGTGTGTGTGTGCACTGGCAGCTTCTGTAAACTAAAACCATGTTTATTCCTGGCTGGAATATCAATATATATATATATATATTTATATATATATAAAAAATATTTAGAATTTATATAGAGTGTGTGTCTGCAACCACCACAAATGCTCTGGTCCAACACAGCAAGACCCATGTGCAAGAGGCAAAGAGGACAAATTCCTCACTCCAGCTTCAATCAAGGTGCCTGATTTGAAACACTCAGGTTATAAATTGTCAGGGGGTGAGCTGGGTCTTGCACCATCACTTATTTAAAATAAATGAATGTCTTGGCTGGTGAGCCAGGCCGGATTTCCAAGGAATACACCCCAATCCTTTCTGCTAGAGAGAGATTCCCATTGTCCACTAGATGGCAAAGGGTGACAGCAGCCCCGGCACCCGGGCTCTGAGGTGTGCTGAAAACACCCACTGCGGGCCAAGCACGGCTCAAAAATAAAACAGATTTAATCCTGTCACCCTGTTCCCCAGCAAGTCAAATCTGAGCTGGGATACAAAGCATGAGAATTTGTTCTTTCAGGTTTCCAGTCCAGTGGGATGTTTATTTTCACTTGTAATTGCTCCCCATTTGGTGATTAACTGAACTGTTTTTTGATTTATTAATGATTTTAATTTTCCTCTCTTACATATTTAATTATTAAAAATAGAAATACAGAAATATAAAATACAATATAAAATATAAATATATATCATTAATATTATTGTGTTAATCAAATTAATGTTAATAAATAACAACGTTAATGATATAATTATTAACTCTATTTTTCGGATATAAATATATTTATATTCTTTTATATATTCTGTTATATAATGAGACACTGCCTTTGCAGGGCCACATCCTCTGCTGGCTTTGTGTCTCTCACACCCTGCCAGTCCTTTTCTCTGCCCTTTTTTGCAGCTGACCAAGAGGCAGCTCCCCCTTTATTTAATTTTCTGAGGGTGTGTGCCAGGAGAGGATGGTGACTCAAGGTTGCTCCAGCCGTTTTTTCTTGGGTAGAAAACCAAATGTAGAATAAAGTCAATCCTTTTGTAACAGTGCTGAAGGAGGAGAAAACACCTTTTAAAAATCAGTTTGCATTTGCTGGGATGAGGACTGATGTGGGCATCAAATCAGAGACAGCTCCTCACAAACCAAGCCATGCATCCACAAAATTCCCAATTTTGTAAAATCTGAGGAGCTGCTGCCGCTGGACCTCATTTGCTCTGCCTCTTGTGAGCTGTTTTTTAACAGGTGCCAAGGAAAAAAAAAAAAAAAAGCCATTTTGATGTGAAATTCAGAGAGGAATCAGGGCTTCAGCTTGTTGTCCTGGAGAGATGTAGAAAACCAAATGTAGAATAAAGTCAATCCTTTTGTAACAGTGCTGAAGGAGGAGAAAACACCTTTTAAAAATCAGTTTGCATTTGCTGGGATGAGGACTGATGTGGGCATCAAATCAGAGACAGCTCCTCACAAACCAAGCCATGCATCCACAAAATTCCCAATTTTGTAAAATCTGAGGAGCTGCTGCCGCTGGACCTCATTTGCTCTGCCTCTTGTGAGCTGTTTCTTAACAGGTGCCAAGGAAGAAAAAAAAGCCATTTTGATGTGACATTCAGAGAGGAATCAGTGCTTCAGCTTGTTGTCCTGGAGAGAAGTGAGATTTTCCAGGTGAGGAGCATTCAGCAGCAGCTCTGGCCAGGCCCCTGAGCAATGCACAGCTACTCTGAGCATCCCAGCCAAAATCT